AAAAAAAATGTCTTTGGAACTTTGGTTTTGGGGATTCTTCTCTGCTGCTTTATGTTTTTTTGTCCACTAGATAGAGGCAGGAGACCCAAATTACCTGGAGGATTGGCCTTACTCCTGGACCTTTACACCCCTGTAACATCTTTACTCCCATCAGTTTTTGGTATGAGAGGATCAGTCTACCAGCACTTCAAGCCAGTCTGAGCTTTTCTATGAGGTGACGTAGCAAATCTTGAAGTTTTGCAGGTTGTCCTGCGAAATTCCTCTGTTGTTCCCTTTGCCATTCCCTTCGTGTAACCTCAGCACCTCAGCTTCTTATCGAGTAAGCTACCCAGTTTTATCATCAGATTTCCAGTACGACGTACATATGTTGTCTTTCCTTTCATCTCTCCCTAGTGTCCTGGCAAGCCTGGTTTGCAGACCAGTATTGAAGAACCCCTCTTTCATTTGTTTTCCCATTTTAACTTGTTCAATAATTCACCTTTTTCTCATTTCAACATTACCCTTCTTTCTTTTTGTCAGTGTGATGGCAAGCCACATACGTTAAAATCCACATCTTATTATAAGTTTGCTTTAAGTGTAGTTTCTTTTTTCTTTAATTATTATTCTTTATATTTTCTTCCACCTTACAATTTTTATATGTAGTGCACAAATATTAACAATGCAAGGTTGAAATTGAATTATGTGTTATTGTTTTCTTTCTTTCAGGTACCTTGGTGTTTGGCTCCCCTCTCTGGTCGACAAAATGCGTGGAAAAGGGCTGAGGATCCTGAAGTACTGCTGATGGCCTCATTTTACTGAACCACCTTTGTCATGGCGGAGGGGGGCTTTTTGGGTTTATTTCATTGTATGTGCTAGTTGTCAGGTGGCAGCCATTTTTATTTGCCCTATTCTCTCCACATGGTTTAGCTAAACCAGTATTGAAATCTCCTTTTCTCTTTTTGGGTTTATTTCATTGTATGTGCTAGTTGTCAGGTGGCAGCCATTTTTATTTCCCCTATTCTCTCCACATGGTTTAGCTAAACCAGTATTGAAATCTCCTTATCTCTCATTTCAGTTAGGTCAGTTTTTTCTCAGT